TGGTTCTCGACCAGTTAGGTTTGTGACCAGAATTTGTGGACCAAGGTATCACTGTATATAGGTTTAGCAGTTTTAATTTAAAAACATCTTTTTTAAAAATATGCAAAACTGTGTCCCAATAATGTTTGAAAAGAAATTCTATGTGTAACCACTACTTTTTATGCTGATGAATACCTGACAGCACTATTATTTGACTCAGCCATTATACTTCAAAGACCATACTTACGGGTACAGCACAGCTTCCTATAATACAAGGACATCTAAAATTGAGAAAAGCCCATTTAAATTAAACCACTTAAAATAAGGACTAGAATTTCATAATGTAATTCGAAAACAGTATATAGAAGGCCCAACTTCCTGCTCCCCTTTTGGCAGTATGAGGGCGGGAAGCCAGGGCCTAGTGATGCTAACCAAGTTCTCTACTATGGAGCTACATCCCCAGTCCCAAGGCCCAATTTTTAAACCAATGACACCAAAGTCTACAGCTACCACCGTTTCTTTTGGCTACTATCAGATGAACTAAACAAAGTAGGTATTTTTGTTTATTTAAAAGGTAAGTAAAATAAATAAATAAATAAATAAAAGGCAAGTCAAACTTCTTTTGAAACAAAACTGTCTAACGAAGATAATTTACCTTTCAGCTCATTATAGGTTAATGGGTACTTGATAACCACCTGAAATGACCAGGAAAATTCTAGCGTTCTCATAGTACAATGCTTCTAAAAAATTAAAATGAATACTAAACTTTAAATCAACCCACTGGTTGATAGAAGATCAATGCATGATTCAGGCCTTGATATGATTCAGGTAGAGAAACAGTAGGAAAAGCAAACAGACTGGCCCAGGATCACAGGTACAATTAACAAAACTAAGAGCTCATTCACAGTCTTCACTCCAAGGAGACTGTTTTCTCTATGTAGTAGCTTCATGCAGTTAATAACAGTCAGATCATATACATTTCTAGGTTAAAGAGATGCTGTGTGGGAGAGATATGATCATTTTAAAGCCAAATTCTGTTCCAAATTCCCTTCAAAAAGTATAAAATCCCTTCCATAATCATATCTAAACGAAAATAGAGACAAGAATACTAAAGACAATAATTTGATTTTAATTAGGCTCATTAAGAATGTAGTATTACTTCAAGCATGTATATTTGTTTTAAACTCGTAATTTACCAACAGGTAGTATGAAATAAAAAGATTTATTTAGTCTCCCATAAGTTTTAATCTCATAGCTGTGTGTGTGTGAGAGACTAGCTGCTGGTTTCATCTACAAAAGAACATTAATACATAAACTAGCAAAGGAAAAAAAAGAAAGGAAAAAACACAAGGCAGGGCTGTGGATACAGCTCTGTGGCACAGCACCTGCTTGGCAAATGCAAGGTCCTGAGTTTGATTCCTGGTACCCCTCCCTAGCCAAAAAAACACAAGACAACATTATATGTCCCTTTGTTCACTCAGAATTTAAGAAAAATTTACTAATTTTTACCCCTGATGTTCTCAAAGACAGTTACTAGTACATATGACCATCTAAAATTCTTGCTATTAAAATATTACCCAAATTATACTCAAGATTCCAGATTTCTTCATAGTCTACAAAAGAGGCTCTTGTTTTAAAGGAAAATGATCACAACTGCAAATGTCTAATGATGAGTCAGATGTTTCCCTTCCAGAAATTAAAATGTACTAAATAGAAAAGTATTTGTAACAAAGGCAGATTACCTACTTCTAACAATACCTAATGCAATTAAAAATGGCAAAGTAACACTGTGAAATGCTTAAGTCTCAGCAAGTCGTAAGTGTAAAGATCAAACAGCATACAGTCTGTGTGTGCGTGCATGCACTAAACCACATCCTCAACCCCTTTTTTAAGTTATTTTGAGACAGGGTATTGCTAAGTTGGCCACACTGGCCTTAAACTTGCCATCATCCTGTCTCAGCCATCCAGAATACATCTTTTTCTTTTTTCTTTCAGTACTGGGGATGTGACAGGGGCCTTCGCACACTGAACTATATCCCTAGATCTTTCAATTTTGAAAGAGGATCTCCCTAAGTCACTAGGTTGCCTATGAGACATTTAAATTTGAGATCTTTCTGCCTCAGCTTCCTAGTATGCTGTGTATTTTTTAAAGCTGACTGAAAAAAAGAAATCCAACCAAGTTTGGTCTATTCAGCTTATTCTAATGGCAAATCTATGTGCTCCTGATGAACTATCTAAGCCATTAAGCTAAATTTTAACATCTATCTTTATTTGATCTTCAGAATCAAGAATTACGTTTGCCAAGGCACACACCGAGCAACCTTTCCCTTCCAGTCTCACCTGCCGCATCTTCCAAATCAATCAGTTTGGGCATTAAACTTTCAGGGAGCTTTTCTGGTAAGTCGTAGCCATTCTTCCTAGCAACCACCAGGTGAAAGGCAGCACAAAACTCATCCAGTGTCAAAGCACCATCTTTATCAAAGTCTGAGAGTTCCCTAGAAGACAAACTTATTATAAATATAATAGCAGTCCACTTTGGATTCCTTTATTTGTCCGAGGAAAGAAAGTATTCTCCTTAAGAAAGTTCAAAAAATCATGAATTGTAAATATCCCATTAAAGAAAAGATGTGTAATAAAGTAAATATATTAAAACGTTAACTGAAGAATCTAGGCGGGGGGCTGGGGATTTAGCTCAGCGGCAAAGCGCCTGCCTGGCAAGTGCAAGGTCGTGAGTTCGGTTCCCGGTACCGGAGAAAAACTAAAAAACCAAAAA